TACGTTTGAGAGCATGTAAATAGACAAGGAGATAACCGCCATCTCCATTACCGCTTTGCTCGAACTGGTCTCAGCGAAATGACCTCGGTGCTTGCCGTCCCCATCCGTCAAATTGACACCTGGATTGCATACTTCCCGCTTGCAGCTCTCACGTTTCGCATCTGACGAATGATTGCGCGTTGGCGAGCCGGTAATGGGCTTTATGGAATTGTCGAACTGTTTACTATTGTCCGGCGTTGCATTCACCAATGTTATAAACAGCAAAACAAAAATAGCGAGCATAGTTCTTTTGAATGACATTGTGCTATTAAACTTTGAAAAAATCTTCACGCTTTGCAACTTTTCACTTTGAGTCATAAGTTTGGAATGAGTTCTTTCTCAATTGTAAAACCTTTATATAAACGCTGAGAATTGTCGCGTAGCTATCTTCATTACCTCTTGTTGGTTTATGGAAAATTCTACAATCATAAATTAGTCTATTATAAATTCCGTTTCTTGTAATTTTTCCTCTATCATGTTGTCTGTTGTGTTTAACGCGGCTGTTGACATTTTCGGACACTTACATATTGCCAAAAAGATTTCTTGTTTTGATTTTGAGGTTTGGCAAGCGTCTGCGAATGGTGGAAATTTTTGAAATTACAAACATTTATGTAAATGAAGTCAAACACATACTCGTAAGACGTAAATACATTAGTAACAACAGGCGTCACCGCGTAGGGTGTCAAAATTGAATAAGAATTAAATCATTTGCTTCAAGAATTAGTTAGACATAGTTTATAGCTTATAACAATTTGTAGAATATACAATCAGCAGAGATTATGAGACGTCTGTTGTGCTTAATTTCTCTTTTACCAAATTTACGATTAAGAAAAGAAATTTAATAGTGTATTAATCTATTGTAAAAGAGATTTGTCTTCATCGCAACATAACCCTACAGACTTACATACACATTTGTTTGCGTTTTTCGTCCTCCATCATATTGTGTCTCCTTCGGAAAATATAACTTAAGAAATGGTTTGCTGCAGTTTGCTTGTTTCCCATAGTTAGTGGAGTAATATGTATAAGGACATCTAATGCATCAAGGAATTATAGAACTAAGTTTCTCAGGTCCGTATTAAGATTATTGGGATCCCAGAGCCGGTATGTAAGTGAGGCCATTTTTTGCAGTCATAAAATTTGTTGAAAATTTACTAATTTTACACCCGAGATGGTACGGCAAATGTTTATGTAGAAATGCCGGTATCAAAATTGGTCAAAAGGCGCCTCACCACCCTCCTACCGATGAAAATTTATATCTCCGGAACTACTCTCACCAATTTTAGCCAAATTTGAAGCGTAACATTATCTAGATCGTGCCTTGAAGGCATGCGAACGCACGTCCAAAGTGGACAACAACTTTGTGGGCTTACCCGCATACCGAATACTACTATTTATGAACAAAAAGTAGTAAGAGTTTGTTCATAATTTTGAAATTCTCAATTTGTACATTTAATGTCGAAAAAGTCATGAAGATCAATGTATTACCGTGGATCGAAAATCAATAATTGTCGACCCATAATTCTCTCTCTCTCTCTCTCCTCGTTTTACAAATAGCTCCGTGCACAACACTCAAATAGTATTCTTTGTTGACAGCTTGGCCTGGGGGAAGGAGTTTGCAGTGCACTAAACCTTGATAATTCAAGAAAATTCTCAACATAACCTTGATTTTTAACTGCTTTGTCTGTGTCGTGGATTCAATATTCATCGCCAGTATTAATAAATTTCCTGAAATCCTGGTAGTCAAAAAGAATTGTTTACAAAAAAGAATATTTCGACTAATGGGTTTTGGCGCTTTTTAAGTCGGACGTCTTGTGAGATTACTGAAACTTGGAATAAATATAAAAAAATATAAAGATTTTTGAACTTCCAGTTGATTTAGTACCATAAATATCTGTCAATATATGAGTAAGTTTAATGACAATCAGAGAACTTAACGATCCCATATGCTCAATATCGTGATTTCCTACGTTCCTTCCACCTTATTTTAAACTGTTTATCATGCTCAATATGTGTGATATATTATTGAAGTTAAATTGAAAGTTTCCTAAATAATTATGGGGCTTGGTAGAGTTTTTACCAATTTTAATTATTTTTTTCCTTCGAGTTCATTATATTGATTTTAATAAAAATGTCTCTTAGTAAGTTATGAGTCGATGACCTATAATGCAAGTTAATGAGATGCCAAATACGATTGCTTTCCATTCATACATGATTTCGTTGAATAATACCAATTGAATTTTTAGGCACAATTTTTTTACACGCAAATAATATTTTGTAAAATGTGCGGTAACTTCGGAAGTTAGCCCTTTTTCTTCTGGATTAATTTTAAGTAGCAAATCAATTAAAATCGATTGAATTTAGAAATTTGATGTTCGATAAATGGTTTACTCAAATGATGCTGCATATTTGGTGGGGAATTGGAATGTGGCTTTAAGTACCCAGAAAAATCCCCGTAATTACACATATGGAACAAACATAAAATATTTTCGAGAATATTATTGTTCTAATACACATTTGTGTGTCTAACACATAAAGTATCAAGTAATAATGAAATATTATATCAAATAAAAAAATGTGTAGTCAATTAGGAAAATAAAATCAGAATGAACAAGAAATAACGCTTGAAATGCGAATGTGTAAATAATTGTTAAGACAGGTAAAAAGAACAGCGTCAACAAAGGTAAACAGAAAATATCAGCAAAAAGTTTAGTTCTAATCGACCGTCCAGTCAGTGTTATTGCTTAAGCTCGCGGCGGAAAGAATTTGTAACGAAAAAGGCTATAAATATGCTTAAATTTTGGGTAAAATTCTCAGTTAACTTCCAGTATTTTGGTATTTCACTTGAATTTCGCCTTTATGCTATAATAATATATTATTGATTTTAAGAGTGCCACGGAATTCGCGAATATTGTAAGTTAAATACGGTATAATGCGTTCGCCGACTCTTTTTTGACATATTATGGATTTTTGCAATGATTTCTGTGATTGTGGCAGTTGATTTGGCGGAAAGCGAACAAGCGATCACTCCAAGTACTGTTACAAGTCCAGAGATATCAGTGCACGCCGTGGAGACAGAGGGGAGGACATTCGAGGCAGCAGATGCGTTGCTGGATGTGGACGCCAGCACAGCGCATGAGAATAAGAGCGGGCGAGAGGCGCGCCAATTTCGTACGTTCGGCTTTGGACGACGTAGATTTGGGCGTCCGGCGTATTTTGGAGGTTATGGTGGCTTTGGACGTTACGGACGTCCATTTTATGGTGGTGGGTTCCGGCGACCTTACGGATACTTTCCCCGACCATATTATCCGCGGCCCTACTATGGTAGACCATGTTGCTTCTACGGTTGAGGAAGACGAGCAATGTGTGTTATGTGCGTAGCCCACTGCTTTGAAGTGCAAGTCTCTATTATGATAGAAGAGAAAAAATATGAAAAGATAAATAAATTGTAAAAGTGATATTAAATTAGAAAAATTGTCGTATTTATGCTTAAGAAAGTAATTTGATAGGCAACAAGCAAGAACAAGATAGAAAGAGCTGTTCATTGTACTTAGCAATGGCATGACGTGAAAAGTTAATGAGTCCGGTTAGTGCGGCAAAGTGAATCTGTCAGAACCTTTCGGCTAAACTTCCGTGACTTTTAGCTTCTTTTTGACTGATTCATATGCGTGGCAGGATTTAATTACGTGCGGCAAATAAACAGCAAGAAAAATTAAACAACAAGCCAACAGATAACGGCCAGGAGCATAAACATAAATGCCAGATACGGCGGAGTGCGCGGCATAGAATGCTGGGATGACCGCAAAGAGGATGAGATGACTAATTTTCTGACTTGCAAGACCCGTAGAAATTGGTGCTTCTCACACCCCTCCTTCCCCACTGCAAGTCTTTATAGAAAAGTGGATAAATTGTGGGTGGCCGGGAGACGGTGATTCTGAAATAAAAAAAGTTTGATAAAAGCTGGTAGAAAAAAATCTGAGAAAAACAAAGCGTATAGCAAACTGTATAGAGGTACTTCGCTGATAATGAACTCAGAGTGTGGGGGGGTTGTTGGGTGTGGCAAAATAAAAAAAATTAGAAAAATTATACTTTTATAATCATGTTCATACATATCCACATACAAATGAACGGTGTGGCAGCAAATGAAGGACTTTAGCGTGATATCTGACACTAAATGCCGGCGAATACAACACATCAAAATCCGTTATAATAAAATTTAAACTACTTAAATAAATGTGGTTTAAAATAAAGAAAATCCAAAATATTTTTCTTTGTTTTACTATCAAAAACTATCAAAAGCTAATTATGTGATGTGTATAGAGAAGATGCGTTTACTGAACGCCAATGCCAAAATTCGTTTGCATATTTCGTTCCGACAATTTCGATCTTGAGGATCCACCACGTTTTGCAAGCACTCCTGAAGCTGATGTGTAAAAAATAAACTCGTTGGTCGATACAAATCTTAGGCCAGAATTGATCAATAGAAAAGATGTAGTGTTCTGTCAGGTTAATGCGAGACCTCATACGAGTTACATGACCTATCGCAGCCACCATATTCTCCAGACTTGACACTCTTGAGCTATTGCTTTTTTGGTTGAGTATTAGAAATGCATGAAATCAGCAAGGAATTTATAGAAATGAATGAAATTGTTCCATATCCTCTTCCACTACTCTTCAATTAGATGTTTTTGTTGATGTAAACCTAATCCCTGTTAGGATGGTAAGGTTAAATAAGTTGTCGTCGACGTCCTCCAACTGTAGGCTTAAGAAACGTGCTGTTTGTAAGGAGTCGGACAAAAGGCAGAGGGGTGTCAGATGAATAGGGTTAGTGGGCAGGCAAAAAGGTGGCCAGTGTAATGCGGAGACTTTTTGCGCGCAGGACATTTATTAGATATGTCGGGGTTTATTCTAGATAAGTAGGAATTTAACCTGCTATAGTATTCGGAACGAAGTTGCGCAAGGGTCAGTCTCGTCTCTCGCGACAACTCGAACTGCTCATCTACAATGGGTGGTGGTTTGATTCCAAGCACGCCATCCACTGAGACTGAGTGAGGGAGGATGACGGCCAGTGCTTGCCTGATGTCGTCGACGTAGTTGATCTCTTGATGCTCCTTTGAGTCGGTCGCTTCAACCAAACCCTGCTGGAGTGCATTCGCAGAAAGAAGAAAGTAGTTCATTATGCTCTGTAAAGCCCCTATGCTTCGGCCTCGCTATGCAAGTGTTCGATAGGACACATAAGGCATTTATCGTAGTTCGGAGTGCAGTGTTCTTACAAGTCTGGAGCCTTGTAAGTTGCCAATAAGTTTTTTTTTTGTTTTTTCTAAACGTGATGGCGGCTAGCGACTTGAGTATTTAGTTGCGACTCTGTACTTTGGCGATAATCGCGGTCGTATCAGGAGTGAAGGAACACAGACTGTCAAAAGTCACACCTAAAATTGTGGGATTATTGACAGTTGGAATCTTAACGTTGTCGAGTGCAATATTAAAGAGTGAGTAGGGTGGCTGTGGATTTAGTGGGTGAGAGTGTTACCAATGCCAATTACCTGTGAGCACATGCCATCGATTCACTTCACTTAGATCTCGTATGTATCGGTCGGTATAACAGGTATCTCAATAAAGTTTGTTTTACAATATTTTGACTACTGACAGAGTATGAAATTACTATATAGCTCGCACAACGCACTTTTAGTTCCCGAAGGTCAAAAGATTATTGCCTGAAACCTTGCTGGTATGCTATATGCTAGTATTATCAAATAGAACTACAATTCACAGTTAATTTTTGGAGATGACTCAAAGTTGGCCATTCTGGCAGAATAATAAAAAGACGAAAAAAGAACAAGGCGAGCAGCTGCTGCAAAAAGTTACCACAGGCAAACATTACTTTTAATTAACAATTTGTAACAATATCTTTTAAAAGCACTTCTGTTTAATGAGAACTGCTTTGCAAAGTACCGCAAGAACTGTCTAAAAAATCCTTTCAATCCACACAACATTATGCCCAACACGTACATTAAAGTTTCGGACAGAGTGTGCAAAGAAAGCGCGAGAAAAAACGGAAAGCCGTCTTAAGTCCATAAGAACAACTTTTGGACAAAGTAAAAAATTATTGCAAAAATGTACTGAAAGGCGTTGGCACGGCTTGGCGAAGAATGCGAACTTAACAAACGCGTGCCAGAAACGGCATTGAGTGAGTGGACATAGAGAAATAATTATCAAATTCAACTAAGTTCGAAATTGCTAATTTAAAAACAAGAAGGAAAAACAATTAAATATAAAATGATAATTACATAATTATTGCTTGCTGTCCAAGTTTCTGTTGGGCCAGTAGTGCACCGTTGGCTGGTCCATGGACGCTTGTGGCACGTACATTTACGTCACAACAATTGAATGCTGGCTGCCCCCATCAGTGGCAGTGAGACAAGTCAGACACTCAGTCAGTGTTTTTTGTGACAGAGTTAATGAAATTATAATTACAGTAATTTTTACTCAATTTTATTTTATTTTTTCTTTTCCTTTTAAAGGTAAATGTGAAACTAATTGTGTGGGAGCGCGCTGTGTCAAGCAAACCACCGAGATTTAGTTAAGGTAAAATTCATTAAAAAAGAGGAGAGCAAAATACAGTGTCCCTCTTATGTATTGACTTACTTTATAGTGGCAAAATTTCCAATCATGAAGAGTACTCTATTGTGGTTTGTTTTTAAGTGTTTAGCGTCCGAGATTTCTAGTTTTTTTTGTTTTTTTTTTATCCTAAATAGGGTTTATTAAATTTGCCACGCAGTTTGTAAGACGTAGCAAAAATCTTCGGAAACCGCATAAACAACAGGTGGTCCAAGTAGAGGTACTTTTCTCAATCATTTTTTTTGACAGATCAGGCATTAGTTGTGTCAAACTGTCAAGTTATTTGTTTATATGTGTTTTGCGCATTTCTTTCAACTTATGGTCAACATAATCGGCCTACTGAGCGTGCTATTCGCAACAGTATCACCCATCTTGAGATCCAGCATTCATTATTGGATAATACTCGATTGAATAGAGCACATTCTGCACGCAGAGAAGAAAATAAAAAAGCCGTAGCTGAGGGTATACACGAAGACCGTGGAGGGTCGTTTGCAGCAACTCGGACTGACGTTTGCAACGACTTGGTGCATTTTTCATCTAGATCTCGCACAAAATATAGTTTGTGCAAGAACCGTAGTCGCTTGACCTTTCTAAGCGACATCGCTTCGCTCCATGGGCTCTTGAAAAGTTCCAGCAAGATCCGAAGTTTTTGAGCTGACAATTTCGTGTCATTCATTGTTGTGTCTCAACATTGTTTCTAATAACCGCATGCACAGAAGTCAATACCCACATGCACCCATATGGCCCTGAATACATCAGACACTTTCAGGTTTTCAAATTAATTAACATAAAATACCAAATGCATTTCTCTTACGAATAAATTGTCAGTTGGGAGAGCAGAAATATAATTTGATTTTGCTCCGGCGGCAACAATATACACAAAGATGTATGGCCTGCTTGTCAAACTGGCAATTCACCGATCCGAAGGGACGAAATTAACTCGATTTAGGTAAGCGAAAACTTTTCTATTAACAATGACAGCCCAAATGTTGGCAATGTAAGGTGCCAGCCGCAGACACTCATGTTCACCTAAGTCATTATGTGTGGCATAGGTATGTGTGTGTATGTTAGTGAGCCAGGTGGGCTGATGTTGTGTAAGCGGAGCTAAGCCAGCAATAAGGGCAATTTAGTAGCATAATTCGACTTTATTATTATTTAATAATTTTAAGTCATTTACGAACACGCTTACGATATTAGCAGTGCTCAACTAATCCAGCGACAACAACAACAACTGCTGGCAGACATGCATGTAATGGCAACAAACTAAAATATCACGCAAATGCCTCTGAGAATAGGCGGCAAAAACGAAATTTCGCAACTCGGCATAGAACTGTTGGAAGTTATCGCATTACCTCCGCAACCTCACAAGCGCTCATCTGCGCGACCTGACAGTGAACTGCGATTCGAGCATTTATGATAGTAATCCCTCTCTCAGCGCAATCCATATTCGCAACATTGTATTTACTCTAATTCCACACACCCCGCACACCCGTCCGCCCACATGCCATTCACTTAATGTCTGCGTATACCCAAAACGCTAATAACTTTTCGGCTTTAGGCGCAATTTCATTCATTTTTGCATACAAGTTATCAGTTGGTGTGTGGTGGTGTAAGGCAACAAATAACAACAGCAGCGGTGGCAGCGTGGATGTCGCGTCGTCGGCAGCAAGAAAATACTTTGTTTCAACACATTGCGGCAAGTTACATTGTAGTTTGGCTTGCACACGCGGCCATACATGGGCGCACACATTCGGCGCTTTTCAGGCGTCGGTAATCGCATTTTGGTTGGTTG